CGCAGTGGCGCGGCGAGCTCCTCGACGGTTGTGCTGGCCCCTGCGGGCCGTGTCATGGCCGCGGGGGCCGCCCAACCTGTTACCCCTCCTAAGGCCGCGCCTAAGGCCAAAGGGCGTGCTTCAGGGGCTCCTAAGACTTCGATCGTTCCAGCGAAGCCCAAGGTGTACCCTAGGCGCAACGTCCCTGGCCCCAATGTCCTCGAGGCCGAAGACTCGCTCGAGGAAGAGGCAGCCCAAGAAGCTGAAGGTGTCGAGGAAGATAGTTCCAGCTCGGATCTTCCCGACACGCGGGCGCCTCAAGCCGCGGTCAAGGTGAAGGAGGACGAAGAGCCCGCTGGTGGGGCCCAGGCCGAGAGCACAGAGGAAGGATTCCTCGAGCTTGGCCAATCGGTGGTCAGCAGCGCGAAGGAGTACCTCGCGCGGTCCGAAGCTCTTCTGAGAGCGCAGAAGCTCCAGTCGAAGATACTGGAGGTGGCGGGAACCGCGATGGTGAAGCTAGAGAAGATCACCAAGCGTGAGGAATCCCTCAAAACTCTGCGCCGTGAGGGAGAGAATCGGGCGGCCGGGGAAGGCGCCGACGGGGAAGAGGTGTCTGACGATGGTCAGGATGGTTTCGGGGGTGCGGGATCGAGCAGTTCCGCCAGGCCTTCAGGAGGCGGGACCGTCCAGTCCGCCCCGGCCCCAGAGGAGCCTCGCCCCAACGCTGACGGCCACTATGGATGCTCAGCTCCTGGATGCGGGCTGGCCTTTGAGTCGCTGGTGCAGTACCACTTGCATCAGGCGGCCTGCCATGGCGCCTCTCTGCCGCCCAACCTGGGGATCAGCCCCTCCGCACCTCTTGACCCTTTTCGTCAAGACTGGCGGGGACGGTTGTTCCGCCGAGGAAAGGACGGTGAGTATGGGGAGGTGCCCATGCTCCGAGTGATTCGGTACCACAAAGCCAACGGGTACGATCACTCGAAGGTCCCGCTCCTGAAGAGAGGGGACCGAATCCAGCTTGAGGACGGGTCGCACCACATTTATGGTGGTAGTCATCCGCCGGGGTGGCTTCGCGATGACCCCGAGCTGGACCCCGCTCCAGAGAGTAGCGGTGGAGGGTCCACGCCCAAGAGCGAGCCCACGGAGGAGGCCGAGCCGGGACCTCCGCGGGAGGCCGCTCCGCGCGGGCGGGGTTTCGAGCCGCCGACGAGCGACGTTCAGCAACGCCTTGCAGAGCGTCGTTCCAAGCGGGATTACTCGCCAGACCTGGTGACGCCTCTTGACGATCTCCATGCCCAGGAGATCGATTCCTTCTTCGCGGGCGACCCAGCCGCGGACAGCCTTGACGTCATTTTGATGCGCGCCGAGGTTCGCACTGAGTCCCACCTCAACGTTGGCCGGGAGCAGAAAGAGCCCCTGGTCAAGGAGGAACAGGAGGAGGAAGCTGAGGTTGTCAAGGACGAGGAGGTCTCGGTTGAGATGGAGGCAGGCACCGCGGATGAGGCGGACGATGTCGCCCTCCCTGCCAACCGAGCCTATGTCGAAGGCCGCTTTTACCCCTACGGCAGCTGGCGGTGCTTCTTCTGCGAAGCCATTAACCCGGTTACCGAGGACCAGTGCCTCACCACGCACGCGGGCGGCCCGAATGCGGGTGCCCCGTGCGACGGCCGATGGATCAACGGGATCGACATCGGGTGGTGGGAGGTAGATCCTCAAACCGCGCCAGAGCAGTGGAGGCGGAGGTTTTCTGCCGAAGAGATTGAAGAAAAGAAGCGCGGGCGGATGCCGCGAGGCTTCTCAGCGATGAGGAACTCGCTGAAGCCCTCCAGGCGGCCGAGGAGGCGCAGGCGGCCGAGCGCGCCAAGAAGCGAGAGCGGCGCCAGGCGGAGAAGGCGGAGCGCGATGATCACATCAGCGAGGCGCTCCGCATAGCAGGGTGGCAGTGCCCTAACTGCTATGAATGGAACCTTTCATTCAGGCAGCTGTGCTTTCGCTGCAGCACCCCTCTCCGTTTGGCAGAGGTCGTCTCTCGCGGGATCCCTGATCCGCGGCGTGGCGAAGAGAGGGACTCGGGCTCCGAAAGCAGCCAGGACGAGCTGGAGTACGAGATCCTTCTGGCCAATCGTGCGATGGACCAAGAAACCATCCAACCTCTTCTTAGAAACAAACACAAGAAGAGGGGCGGCAAGCGACGTCGCGAAGAGGACGTACGGCAAGGGCCGCGACCCTTGGAGTGCTTGGGCAGACGCCCGTGGCAAGGGCCAGGGCAAGCCGAAGGGCAGAGGCAAGTCCGATGCCAAGGGCAAGCCCAAGGGGAGGGGCAGGTACGCCTGGGGCGCTTACGCCGCGGGCATAGTTGCCGCGCTCCAACCCCGCCCAAGCACAAGCTGGGTCCCAGCCTTCCCGTGCGGGTCGGCCCGGCCGCCGCCAAGTGTTCCGCTTCCGCCGCGGACCCCCTTTTTCCTGGGTCGCGGGCTCCTCAATCGGTTGATGCACGCCCTCAACGGGAACATCAACGGCTGGTGGGGCCTGGCGGCTGCAGCGTCGGCGCCGATTGCCTTGCAGTTGCACCGCGGGGCTGTGCATGTTGTCGAGGACTCCATGCACGCGGTTGCAACAATTTCGGCCGACGTTGTCGAGGAAATCGGTCATGGGGCCAGGCGGACCGTGTGGGTCGCCGGAACAGCCATCACTCTGGTAGTAGTGATCTTGTGCAGCGCTGTTCTGTGGTACGTGAGTCGTGCCGTTGCCAATCGCATTGCGCATCTGCGACATGGCAACACCGCGGCCCCTGAGGCGCGGCTGTCTCAACTCCTTGGCTCTGAAGCGACGTTTGAGGTCGCGAGCACTAAGAAAGGGGTGACCCATAAGGTTTGGGTGCACCTCAAGGAGGAGACAGCTGCCTGCGGCTGTCGTGCTTACCTAGCAGAGGGACGTTGCGGGCATTGCGATGCCGCAATGGACACCGCTCGATCCCTAGGGTTTTTGCACGCGGCCCAGCGAGGCGCGGGTCCTGCGCTCACAGACTCCATTCGGAGTACCGCCTCCGAAGCCCTGGCTAAGGGTAAGGTTGTGTTGGGTTTGGGAACAGTGAAGGATGTTTCTCCCAACTTGCGGCCAAGAGCCGCGGGCTCTCCTGCTTTCAGGGGCTCGCGGGTCGTGACCTGGCCGCGGCCCCAGCAGATGGAGCGAGCGCAGCCCACGCACAGTCCGGCTTCGTGCAACGTGCCGCCACTGCCACTGTGGCGCGCACACCCGGCCGGAGGAACAAGGGCCCAGTCCCTGCTAGGAGTTCTCCAGTCAAAGAAGCGGAATTCCTTGCGGGCGGGCCATACGTTCAGGCCGCCCAAACGCTGCTTGGGTCTGGAGCAGCAGAGGATGTGATCTACGTCCGGCGTACAGCTTAGATTGCCCATCCTGCATCGAGGCAATCGAAGCGTCGCTTAGCAAGGGCGCAGGCGTTCGGATTGTCGCCGACATGGGACAATGCCACCGCACCAAACTGCAGTGGCAAGCGTTGAAACGCTTGGCGGTTGCAGGCGCCGAGGTGAAGGTGGGTTGCGGCTCATCCGTGCGCGACGCCTATGCTCGCGACGGCCGCGGGGCTAAAGTAGGTACCGGTATCCAAGGGCTTCACCATGCCAAGGCCCTTTGCCTACTGCGGCCTGATGGCGCGGTGGTGCTGATTGGGAGCCTCAATTTTACCACAAGCAGCAAAGCCAATGCGGAGGCAGGGCTTAGGCTTGAGGTCCCCAAGGCGCACCCGGTCGCGCAGTCCTACATCGAGGATTTCCAGAGGGTGTCGGCTGAGGCATTCTCCCTCGATGAGGCGGTCGCAAGGCGCCCTCAGTTGGAGCGAGCCAGTAGCTCCAACGTTGCTGGCAACGCCACTCGTGCCCCCAACACTGCTCCACAGGGTATCGAGTAGGCTGCGGCCAGTTGGCGCGGCGTGGAATGCATCCACGCATTATCAGAACAGGCGTTGCAGCACGGCACGTTGCTTCGCCAACCTTTTGCATTTTCTTTTGCTTGACTGCGGGCGGAAAGCCGCGGCAGGTTGGAAACCTGCCCATTTTGCATTCCCCGCACCTTTCTCCTCCGCCCTGGCTGTGGCCCCTCGTGCTGAGGGTGCTCTTTTGCAGGTGCTGCGGACCGTGTCCTGGTCGCGGCAATGCGCTCGCCGAAGCGCGTGTGAGCTGCATTGCCTGCGGCACAAGCCATGTGCGCGGCTCTCGCTGAGTCTGGTAGCCCGTAGGGTAGTTCCGGATAGGTGAGTAGCCGTAGCCGTAGCTGAGGACCGGTAGTGTACAGTGTACCATTTGTACCATAGCTTTGCACTAGCAGCACAAAGACCTGCCCAGTACTCTGGAGCCTCGCCTGTCTGCACAAAGGTGAGAGCTCGCGACTTGGGGTGGTTTAGGGTCGTGAAGGGTTGCTGTCGTCGTGCGTTCGTCCGGTAGTGCGGGCTGCCGCCCAAGCCGCATGCCAATGCTCATGATGTGCGGGCTCTACCAGAGTCGCACGCGACACCCTCACCCTACCCCATTTGCCGCGTTGCTGAAGTGCTTGACGCACTATGAGCTCTTGGTGAGCCGGAAGCCTCGGCTGAGGGGCGAATGTGAGCAGGTCAAAGCATGCATGGAGTGCTTGCTTAGTGCTAGTGCAGCTTGTTGTTTTCCCTTGCATGTGTAGTTTTGCAATTCGTAACAATGCCAATGTTTTGGCTCAAGTACCGAGCTTGTGCCTTTGAGCACGGTAGAGTCGTACAGTAGCTCTTAGGTTGCTGTGCGGTCCGACCGGACGCACTCAGGCGTAGCTGCACAAGTGCTTGAACTCGCGAAGTCGTAAAACAGCGTGACCGGGCTGTGATTGCATTGGTTTAGTGCAAGTCCAGTGCTGGTCGACTTCACAGTTTGTAAATATATATGCCTATGAAAATGCGTGTGTATATTTATTTGTATATATTTCATTTCGTTTGTTGTGTGTTTGCTTTTTCCTTTTGTTTGTTCACAGCAGCGCAGGCCACAAGAGCCTCGAGGACCTCGCCGCCGAACTCCATACTTGCCAAAGTGAGCCCGAGTCCCACTCACCACTCCACTCGACAAGCCACGAACAAGCGACATGTGTGTGTGTCCACACAACATAACACAACAGTTTAACATCCAAGCGTTTGGCATCTGGTTTGTTTCTCGCTTCTTTCTCCTGCGGCGGAGGTGCGACAACGCAGTGTTGTGAAAGTCAGTGAACTTCAGTCATCTGTCCGAGTCACGAGTCTGCGAGTCCGTCCGTGGCTCCGTGAGGCTCGTTTTGGGTCCCGGCAAGCGCCTTCGTCGCCGGGCCCATGACCCATCTTTCGGCAGAGGGGGAAGCGCAGCGCAGAGCTCTCTCCAAAGACAGTGAAAGATAAAGTCCACCCCCGTTTTTTCTCGAAATTGTTGGATCCTTTTATCTCTCAAGAGCAGCGCAGCAGCGAGAAATCTCTGCAAAGAGGTCAAGCTGGTCAGGCTGCAGCTGCTGGCCATCATTGACAAAAGCGCTGCTCAGCTCTGCAAAAGAAAAAAGAGATTCAGAGAGATTTCTTCGAGATGTTGCTCACTCCTTTTGCTGGGCGTCTCTATTCGACATTCTTTCCCTGAGGTCCGTGCGCTCGTAGAGCTTCAGTCCGACGCGTGGCTGAGGAGAACGGGAAGGGGGGGGGGAATTTCCGCTGAGAGGGGCAGAGAATGGGTTTAGAGAGTGGTTCGGTCTCTTCCGCGTTCTCCGGAGTCTGAAGTTCAGGGCCCCGGACCAGAAGCTCGGCAAGCTGCCGTGTCGCCGCATCCTTCGGGACGAGACTGTGGAGCAGGCTACCAAGGCTGAGATGGGCTGAGTGTGAAGTTCACTAAGGAGAGAATCAAAGCAAACGGACGAATCGCCCAAACGCTGTCCTCCTGCATCTGTTTGGCAAAAAAGCGTGTTCCTTTCCGCAGATTCATGTGTGTGGTTCACACCTAGACATGGTGAGAAGTAACTCCGATGCAGCTGAGTCCTCTTTTGAACTCGCAAGGGATTTGATGCTGCAAGTGTTACCAGCTGGGGGCAGCAGAGCTTCAGTTCTGCTGCGAAGACGGGCGAAGCATTCTCTGACATGCGGAAGGGACAGCTTCTGCACGTATCCAGGAATCAAAGATTCCCCTGGACTAAAACAAGTGTGAGAGCAGTCAACATACCCTCACCTTCTTGACTCCTCTGGTTGGGTGGTCGAGCCTTATGCTTTCTAATCCGTTGTGGATCCATGGGCGTGGTTGGAATCGTGTCCCAGACACTGCGTGGTTCATGATGATCGCAATACTCGGAATGAAGATATTGATTGGAGCTGGGATTGGAGCCACGATTCTCAGCGCGATCAGCCAGATTGGGACTGCGAAACGTGTTGGCACACATCGTGCCACCAGGCGGGGCATGATCCCGTGAATTCGACCCAGGTTTCCATGAAGAATCCCCAAGGAAAATGAGGTGCACGTCGCTGCAAGCGGACTGTCGTGCACATCGCCGATACCGATTCCAACCCAACGGGATCCGCAAGTATCTCATGTAACACAAGAGGAAAGTTTCCGATTTGCCCTGATCTGCCGGAACATGTGGGTGTGTACCTGGAATCACCTGGAGGTGGTAAGTCCGATGCAGCACAGCTGGGGGCAGCTGGGAGTGAGTTTTGTTGCCAACGAAGATGGCTGAAGCATTCTCTGATGTGCGGAAGGGACGCCTTCTGCATGCACCTGCAAATTTTCCAGGAATTGGACTAAGGCAAGTGCGAGCTCTTGCATACCTCTTTCACCTTCCTTACTCTCGGTGGTTGGTTAGCGGTTAGGTCGGTTAGGTGCTCGCCGCATCAGTTCTTGCCAAGCCTCTGTGTGTGTGTGTGTGTGTGAACATCACCTTGCCGCTATGAGCTGCCGCTTTGGAGTTCGCCCCCCGAGGCGTGCACAAAACTGGAATCCACATAAAATCAACGGCTGGAAATTGAACTCTCGACAGAAGAACATACCAGAAGCAATTGGTGGAAACCTGTGCCTTGATGCAATCGGAGGTCAGGATGTGAGGAAGGATGTGACAGCAATTGTAAACGCTTGCGCGCCGCCTCGGCAGCCGGGCCAGCGTCCCTTCGAAAAACCTTTTGCAGGCCGCAGGCTCATTAGGTTTTAGGGGATGTGTCAGGGACCCTGGAGAGGTCCTAGGGGTGGTCCCAGGGGCTGTCCCCGAAGTCCCAGGGAAAGACAAAAACGGGTTTATTGCGCTTTTGCTGTAAGAACTGCGCTGAAGGCTTTAAGATAGGCCTTGGGCTCTGGTATTGAGTGCAGGGACTTTTGCTGGATTTAGGCCGGGGCCTCAGCGTGCTAATCCATCGCAATTGTTGTTAGCTTTTGCCGTTGCTAAATGTTGCCAATTTGCGTCTTTTGCCACTTGTCCGGCCTCCAGGTATCCCAGAGGAGCTCGTTGAGGTGGGGTTGAACAGCTTCCCGACATCTTTCGACATCTTTCGTACCGTTACTGTGTGAAGAGGGCAATTCAATGTGAGAAGTCTCATAATATGTCTCATAAACTCATTGTTGGGAAGCTTAAGGCGAGATGCGTGGGAACGCCCATTGGACCATGTGTGCACGAGTAACGGTTGGGGCTGAGTTGAAGGTGGTATAGTCCGAAAAAATCTGGGAGTGGGCAGAATTTCAGCGATCCTTCCAGTAGCTGCCTTCATCGTGCCTTCATCGTTCGTACGGCACGGTTTCAGGCGAAGCTCGTCGCCGCTGTCTTAGCAGAAGTGTGACCTTGACGCGTCCGCGTCGCATGCGCCATGTTGAAGGCTGAAATCTGAGGTGCCTGTAGCAAAGTCCCTCATCACCGAGAGCAAGGCAACCGAGTTCCGAGTTGGCAGTCTTTGCCCGCCAGAAAGATGGCAAAAAAAAGACTGCGCGCAGAGGTTTCCATGGGCTTCCCGGGCCCGGGTCTTGACTGTAGACAGAGAGTTGGCCACCGTCACTTCTTGAGAGAACTCAGAGCGAGAGAGCGTTTTTACTTTTTTTTACAGAGCCCTTGGCCTTGGCCTCTCAAAGTTGGCTCTGAGGCTTGGAGACTGAGTACATCGTGCACGAGTCCTCATGGAAGGCCATTGCTCCACGGTTTGGCCATGGCAACCTCAAGGGCAGCCGAGTGTAGAGAGAAACTGAGAAACTTGAGAAGAAAGTGAAAAAGAGCATGGAGAGCCAGCGGCCAGCGTGAGCCCCAAGTAAGGGTTCTCCCAGAATATTCTTTTCCCTCTCAGCCTCTCAGCCTCTCAGCCTCTCAGCCTCCTCAGCTCTTTTTCTTCGTAGAGGTCCGCGCTGCAGCTCTGCAAAGGGCACAGGTCGGGTTGCCGCAAGGTGCCCCGATCGCCGCAAATCTGAAAGAGTCACTTGTGAGATCCTTCGCTATCAACCTTTTGGACTGTCTTCCCTTCATTCCCTTCATTCCCTTCATTCCCTTCGTTCCCTTCGTTCCCTTCGTCCCCTGCAACTCTCATCTCCTCTCATCTCGCCTCATTTCCCCCTTTTCCCTCCCGGCCTCTGGCTATTTAGCGATTTAAATGTTGCCACATGTTCTTCCCGTTTTAGAGGCCGAGCCTTCACCGTGGGCACGGCGAAGGCGTTGGGCCGCGCAGTGGGCTTTGATTGCTGAGGGAGCGGTTGTTGCGAGCTGCCTCGCCACACCGCGCCACACCGCTCTGCCCGCGAAAGATTCTCAGGTCCCTGTGAGGCGACTCTTTTGGCCCGCCGCGGCCTTCTTGCTGAGAGTCGTGACGAGAGCTTTCAGCTTTTTTCGTTGCTTTGAAGAGCATTTGTTCCCCTATGTTTTTTGTTGTCTTCATTGTCTCTCTCAGCGAGTCGCATGGTCACCATGACATTGGTTACAAGCGTGCACATGAGAGGGCGTCACCGCCCTCCTTTCTACACTAGGTCCTCCTGAACATTTCCCTGGATGGCCAGGCGCATGGGAAGGTAGGGGAAGAGCTTGAAAAGGAAACACGGAAGCGACCCTCTAATGCTCTCCTCTCCTCCTCTCCTCCTCTCCTCCTCTCCTCCTCTCCTCCTCTCCTCCTCTCCTCCTCTCCTCCTCTCCTCCTCTCCTCCT